TATAACAAATATATATATATATATATATATATATATATACATTCAGTCATTCACTATGGCCGACAAATACAATACATTCACTTTCACTTTTAGCCTTCTGTTGACTTAATTTTGTAAGACATTATAACTTTTCACTTTTTTTCACCTTTGGTTTTGTAATTTTCAAATTTTCCCACCTCCTCTTTCTAATTTTTTGGGACGAAATGTGTATTTTATGTTTATGGGACAAATTGTGTATTTTTTGTTTCATTATTGTTGTTTTCTTAATTTTTAGGCCCAAATAATCACTTTTGGGCCCAAAATTGAAAAAAAAAAATTAAACCCAAAATGAAAAAAAATAAAAATTGAAGACCCAAAACAAGAATTTTGGATTTAATCAGTTAACCGCCAAATCGGACCGTCCAATGCGGTCCGGATTGTGGACGGTTAAAAAATAAAACCGATCCAGTTATAAACAAGAAAAAAAATAACCGTTAGGTCCGATTTAGTCAAGATTTGGGCTAAACCGGACCAATCCGGACCGTGAACACTCCTAGCACCAACGAGCATCCATAGCCAGATTGCAGCACTACTTGCACAATACTCTCAAATTTTTATATATTTTTACAATTAAATATCGGAGTTTAAAAATAAAAATATTTTTGTTAAAAAATATAAGAGCATCTCCTGGTTGTTGTCTATATAGCAGTAAATAAACGGCTTCTGTCCACATGTACGGAATAGAATGATATGTTAATAAATATGTCTCCAGTGGTAAATGTGTATACGATACACACATGTTTTTTTTCTTCTATAAAATACTATAAACTGTATTTTAGTGTCATAGTTTCAGTCTAGACAGACTTTGAGATGTAGAAAAATGTCTGGATGTTTAGTGTCTCTCTCCTGCCACATAATCAGATGTAAAAATAGAAAAACTCACTGCTGGAGACGTCTTCTATCCTAATGTCTCTATAATTCTACAATTGACATACCATTGGAGATGCTCTAACAGTCACACCTGAGGATTAACCGCATCACAACAGTATTATATGTCTTCCCTATCACCGAGATAGCTATTTTTTTTTACAAAATTTATATAGAGTCAAAATTTTTTTCACCCCGTTATAAATCTATTCTTTCTTTTACACACCACCCCATCAAATAACTTCTTTTACACCCCAAAACTCACGAAATGCTATGCGATATTACAGTCGCATGTCCAAATGAACCAGCGCATATCCAAGCGGACGCAATTTTTGTAATCGCATATCCACGTCAAACGCATAATTTACAAATATGCGAACATCTTTCGCAGTTTTAAGAATCACATATCAAAATCGAATGCAACATAATTTACGATGATTATGCGCCTTATTTCGCAGGGCTATATCGACCTTGCCAATTTATGACTGTGCGAAAACTTTTCGCATATAATTCGCATTATTTGTTGAATTCGCATTTTCTGGAAATTGCATATCCAAGTCAATCGCATAATTTACTGGTATGCGAAAAACTTTCGCATATATCCGCCGGATAATTGACAATGATGCGACATTTTTTCGCTCGCATATTGAAGAAACACATAACAAAATCGAATAAAGCATAATTTAATTGACGATTACGCGCCATTTTTTCGTAGGGCCATATCGTCATGGAAATTTTACGACTATTAGGAATTTGATCGCATATCTGTCGCAGAAGTTACGCACCTCATTAATTGACTGCTTTTTCACAGGTGAGGATTTTGTCTGTGCATTTATCATGCAGGCAAAAAACAGTGATCTCTAACAATTTAACGTCTGCACCATTCTTCTCTAATGCAATTTTCTGTTTCTTTTGTTTTAATTCCTTTTGTTGTTCACTTATTTGAATGGCTAGCACCCGTGTTAGAGTATGCGTGAGCTA